AACAGAATCATCATATACAAACTCCTCTCCCCAAAGCAGGCAAAATTCCTACCTAAGCCCTCAAATAAGAGATTCCTCCTACCTGGAGGTCTTACCTGGTTTAAATTGCACAAGTGGTAGATTTAACTGTTTTCTTTTTCAAGAATTTCCAAAGACAGAAATGTAAGGAGATGCCTAGATACAGGGAAAGAAGAAGACAGAAGGAGAAAAGCAGGAGCTGAAAAGATTGATATGCTTGATCATCCAAAGCATACATATGTTTTACCAGTATTCTTTTACTCATATTTTTATTGCATTTTATAGAAGCCTCACTTGTATTCTTTTCCTAGCTTCATTTGCACAGTTCTACATGTAACTTCTTGCCCGGTGAGATTAAATAGGCCTTGAGATGGTCCGTTAAGCTTCCTGGGTACATCCCTGATAACAGTGGCTCAAGACATTAAGAGAAGTGCCAGAGGACAAAGAGGATGCCAGTGTCAAGAAAAGATCACCTGGGAGCTGTTTTAAACTGACACTCCAGGGCCAAAGGATGGATGATAATGCCAGGACTGCATATGGCCAAAGGAAACCCAAGGTTCAACTAGCAGACAGTGTGAGGAAGACTATGCACAACCACCAGAGGGGAAGAGCCTAACCCTAATTTTACTACATACGCTCAGATTATGTAAATGAATTCTGAGAACCCATTAGCATAAGACTGCCTTTTGCAGGAAATATGATGACTGTGTATGTTTTCCCTGTATATTAGTTAGTGTGTTTTGCTAACCTGTGGCAGGACTTATGGAAGAAGAAATCCCCAGTGCCAGCCCAACGTTGCAAAAAAGAATGCCTGCTTAATAACAACTTTGTTGTTATTGAGTTTTTACCTCTGAATCCTTGCCCAGCCACACATAGCCTCCCACTTCAGTGAGGAGTGTTAAAAAGCAAGGGGGTTTGAAAGCTCCGAATTTTGTTTCAGAGCCAGGACAGGCACATACTTTAGACTAACTGAACTCCAGGTATCAATGCAAAGATTCATTTCTAACAAAAATTGCAAAGTTTTAATACTGAACACCTTAAAAAACCCACTAAAACACAAACTTAACCATTGCTTTGAAGAGAAGATTCTGTTTATAAGCAAAATGAAATTAAACATCCAACAAAATAGGAACAGTACCCCAGAGTTCCCATAGAATGTTAGCAACTCCTATTGGAGCTCTTAAGTCTAGAGCCACATGACTATGACATCCTCAACTGATGGAAAATAAACCCCAAACATGTCAGTACAAGTTCACTTTGTCCTTTAAGCCCTCTCTATTTGGCTTAAATGATATTTCCTACTGAGTTAAGACTAATACAAAATCCTACATAATAAGAACCACGCCATGATTTTTCATAGTCTGTATTCACACACACACACACGGAGTCATACCTGATCCCACAGAGTCTGCACCTTTGGATCAGAATCTGACATCACTGCACTATCACCAACAAGATGACTTGTCAAGAGAAGCAGTGTTTTCCATTCTTAAAATCTAAACCATATTTTATTAATTAATAACAGTGCATCCTTTTAATAAGATATCATTTAAAAAAAACAACAGGAAAACCAACAAAAAAAACCAACACAAAACCAACCCACAAACAGAACATCAGTTCAAAAGAAAGACTGTTTGGCATAGTCACAAGCCTCAAAGTTTCTTTATCCCAGCAGCTCTTGAAAGGTCAGCTTTTTTGCACTTTTGAAGCTCAAAGGCCCTGACACTGCTACTAGCCTGTGTCACTGGTAGAAACAAGAAGGTAAAAAGGACTAACACTTCTTAAAACTTTGCACTTATTAGCCTTAAAAGGCCCCATGTCTGAGTCCTGCAGGAACGGGGTGGGGGGGGGAGGCATTTTTCCCCCTGCAGACTTCACAGAATGGCACACCTGAGCTTCTCAGTGTTCCTTTCCAACAGTATTTTCCCCAGTCCTAATGAATCCCAATGAACTAATACATAACAGTCAACAACATGTAATAATGCAAATAGGATATGACAGAGTATCTAAAAACAGACTCAAGTGAGTTTACCTTTCAACAAAAGAATAAGCGTCCTATAACCCAATCTGGCTTTTCCTCATAAATTCTTAGCAAGGTAGACCTGAACAGTGGTATTTTGTTCTGGGAAAGA